TGATGTTTTGCACACTTACATGTTAAACACATCTAACAATGTTGCAAGATATCCATAAACTCTAAAACCTCCATCTGCATGCACAATTTTGATCTCTATCACCTGAGCAGACAAGCATTGCTGTTTGAAAAGTGAGCAGACAAAGGAACGAGCAAACGAACCGAGGGTGGATTGAGGCCCCTTTGAACTACTGTCCGTAACTATTTTGGGCCAAATTTTCATTGACATTAACAGAGTTATCCCAGCAAGGAAGTTGCTCTCTCTCCTGTGTGCTACTTAAACCTTTCAGGTTTAGAAATACCTTAGGAGACTGTTTTCTTTCCTCTGCCTGAACAGCTTTATGGGGGCAAACTGGAAATCATGTTCCCAAGCAACTGATCTCCATGTAGTACAGACCAAGCATGAATATTAATGTTTCCACCACAGCCTGTAGTTAGTGACAAATTGTTCTGATATGATGCAAAGCCCATCAAAGTCAAAAAGCACATACAGGGCCAAATCCTTTACTTGATTTGAAAAATAAATAGTTTAGAGAAAAACTCAGGCACCTGTAAAAATTGCATATATGCGTACAGATTATATTTTTCACAAAGCTAAAACTTGTGCTGTTCTTTTTTTCTGCTCAGAGTCATAGATTTTAAGGACAGCATGAACCACTGAAATAATCTAAGCTGACCTCTTGCATAATGCAGGCCACAGAACTTCATCCAGTAATTCCTGAATAAAACCCATACCTTGTGTTTGATCTTAGAGCATGTCTTTTGTAATACCAATTTTCCAAAAAGGGTAGCTAGTTTCTTTTTCCCGGAAGAAAAGTGATTTTTTTTACTCCTCACTATTTCATAGTAAAAAAAAATGGCTTACTGGATTCACTAAAAAAAAGTTCACTTTCAGGAAGAGACCAACTGTGGAAGATTTTACCTCCAAGAGTGAATGTTTGCAAAAGTTAAAAACATGAAAATGGGAGTTACAATACAATTTGTTTTGCTTTTTAACCTTGAAGCAGAGGTTAAAATAAGATGAGACCATCAACAAGCAGGAGAAGAACAAATAATGTCAATAATGGGAAGCAAGGATGTTAAATATTGACTAATTGTCTAATTGAATAGTCGATGCATTTTGCATCGACTATTCAATTAGTCGATAGGGCGATTCTGCCTTTGAAGTGTAGCAATAGCCCTAGGGGTGTTGCTACACTACAAAGTCGAAAGCACCGAGTGGAGCCTGGGATCAGCTGGGAACTCCAGCTGATCCTAGGCTCCACATGGCACTGCCACTTTGAAATGCTGCATGCAGCCTGATGCCAGGCTCTCCATGGCATTTCAAAGCAGCAGCTCTCATAGAGCCAGGGTCAGCTGAGTCCCCAGCTGATCCCAGGCTCCACGCGGCACTGTTGCTTTGAAGCACCGCATGCGGACTGGGGACACCACTGCTGCTCTGAAATACCTCCTCCTGTTTCCCCTCTCCTTTGCTGCCTCTTTCTGATAGAGGCAGCAAGGGAGGGAGAAGTGACTAGTCAACTAACATGTTGACTATTCAATAAGTATTTGCTTATCGGATAGTCGACTAGTCTTTCACATCCCTAATGGGAAGCAATAATGTCACTATTTTAAAAATTTCCTTTTGTGGTATGGTTAGTTGAGAGAGACTATTGGACACTGTGACACAGATACAAAATATCAGGTGAAATCATCAGAAGTTTTGCTATTCACTTCATCAGAGCTAAGATTTCACTGAGGGTATGTTAAAAAACAGATAGTTAAAAAATAGAGCGATAGCCATTGTAACCATATGCTTTTATAAGTCTTTTTAATAAACCTGTAACTGTTTAAGTTTTTAACCTAACTCCTTCAGTTGCTGTAACAAAACCAAGCACAATTTAAAAAAACTTCAGCCGGTCATGAAAAACAGGTATAAAAAAAGCGTGGGCGTTTAAATTTGTGTCACTCCCAGGTAACAAATCCGTTGGGGCATCCCTCAGTCTTTCCCAAACTGCCCACTGCAAAAAAAAACTGCATCCTAGAAGCTAAAATCTAAGGTGTAGTAAGCTCTTCCTATAAAGGGGCATCGGTTGGCCTGTTGGCTACCCTCTGTGACGAAACCCCGGTCCTAGCAGTAAAAACACAAACGTTAAACCTTTTCTCAAAAACACACACACACACAGTGCCCTAACCGTCGGCTAACAGATACACTTCTAGTATTTCTTAATTTAACAAATGCTTATCCTGTAAGTTGTCAAAAGCTTGTTCTATTAAAATACTGTGGATATGCTAGATTACAGATGAGTAAATTTCTATACTAGCAAAAATGATGATAATGTAAAAAGGCATTATTTAGTAAAGCGGGTTATTTTGATAATGATAAAAGATACAGTACAAGCTGTGTTATCTAGTACTTTAATATGCAGAATTACTGGCATCTATCATGAATTCCTCCTTCAGTTAACAGGAAAAATTCCGATAACCATCTGGCATCATCTTTCAACATTTTCTGGTGCTTGCAGAAGTCAAGTTTGCAAACTTGCAGCAGTAAAGTTTGTTCACGTCATGCTTCTGCATATAATACCATTATCAGATATTATCTAACCCATCCTGCAACTATGGCTACTGTACAGTGAAAAACTCATGAACCATTGCTGTAAACCTCAAGTAACCGGCACATTTGATTAACTGGCAATCCCTATTCCCCATAAATGTCCAATAACAAAGCTTGTGCTGTACTTGAATGTACATTTCTGCTCTAATAAAAATTAGATTCGGATCCTGAAAATGAACTTGTGTGGCATGAACTGGATGCAGAAACAATCTCTTTTTTTTTTACCAGACTTTTAATGAACTCCAAAGCAATCCAACTGAATCTATTTGTACACTAGAGATGGTTCTGAATATAGAATTTCTTGGGACATCACCTACAGTTAAATTTTCTGGTTTTAATCTCCTAATATGAAATATATCTAGGTAAATTACATTTGAACAATGGTCTGATGGCAAATATTAACTAAAATTAATAAGGAATGTGATTATATTCCTTTATCCCCCTTCTTATTTTTTGTTTGTACACTTCTTTGTAATCATATAATGTAATTGAGGGTTCTTTGTGAATTTATGAATGATTGTTTGGATGCAAACTCCTCCGTGATTTTTAGGAGAGGCAGGTTCTTCCATATATCATTAGAAAGACAAATTTATCTAAGGGTGCGTTTACACTGCATTGTAGGTCAAAATAAGATATTCAATTTGAGCTATGCAAATTGTGTATAGATAGCACCAAATTTCAAAATAACTCACTATTCCAAAACATCCCTTACTTCTTATATTTCAAAATAACAGGCTTTCTATGAAGATGCAGAATAGCTATTTCGGGATACTTCGTTATCCCGGAATAGTGTTACAGTGTAGATGTAGTCTAAGTGTGCTGATGGATTTGACCTATGACCTTAACTGGCCAGGTTCAAACTCCTCTTGGACTACTAGTTAATATTCTTAAAATGTTAACAGAATTGTTGACAGTACAAGTGATTTCTTTGTGGAAGCAGTATACACAACAAGAATCAAATCCGGAAATCAATAAGAGGAATAGTGCAGGTCCTAGGATAGAGAGGCGTCATGTCTCTCTGTTCATTTTGAGACTGAAAGACATCCTGCCATATATTATTTGAAAAATAATTTCCCCTAGATTTCTATAAAAATCTTTGATTTCACCTTTGGCATCGATGTCAGAAGATTGTCTGAATTTGTTTTAAATGGCTCTTCTACGAACTCAGCTTTCCAATTACTGTGCAGGAAATAATATCCTTATTACAAAATGCTAGCATCACTCTAGTAGAATATTCTGGTGGCATTATTTAATATATCAGACTTTAGAAGAGTATATGTTTTGAAATCTTACACTATATACATGGCTAACATCAGGGTGTGTCTAGACTATAGGGTTTTGTCGACAAAAGTAGACTTTTGTCAACAAAACTATACCCGCCTTTACACTACCACCAAGCTCTATCGACATAATGTCGACAGAACTTGGCAGTTTTGTTGATGGCAGTAAGCCTCATTCTACGAGGAATAACGCCTTTTGTTGACAGAGTTCTGTCGACAGAAGGTGTTATTGCATCTACACTGTTCTTTGCATCTACACTCTCATGTTGACAAAGCAGCTTGCTTTGTCGACAGAACTGGATGTAGTCTAGACGCTCTTTGTTGACAGAAGCTTTGTCGACAGTATCTGTCGACAAAGCCTCTGTGAATAAAAGCCTGTAGTCTAGACATACCTTCAGTGAGAATGTAATGGTGTCCTTACACAAGGCCTGAGCAGGTTAAAAAGGTTCAATTAATCTCGTAGGCCGCATCTAGAGGAAAGCCAAAGACTGATAAAAAAAATCCCCTTTTTTTTCAAGTGTCCACCACAGATCAGACATTAAATATGGCCAACTGATCTTATGGCTGCACCTAGGGAAGAACCAGGGATATAGTCTAAATTGAAGATGAACCTAACTGGACCGGAGCAGTCTGGACTCATATAAAAAGTCAGGAAGTTGACAGCAGGAGGGAGAGATAGGGAGAAGCTCTGCAATAACTCCAGAGAGGGAAAGGGAATTGGTGAGAAAAGAGGAGGAGTTCTATGGGAGGATAAGCCCTGAACTATAGAGTGGCAAAAAGCCGAGAAAGGTGGGCTAGCCACTGCAAATAGAAGAACCTCATATTGACTTCTATGGGGCTATTCACATAGTTAACATAAAGCATGTTCTTAAATCCTTGTGAACAGTAGCCTAAATATCATGGTTTGCAGAAATGAGCAGTACAGTCTTGGTGAAATGAAATAATAGATTTTTTTTACTTACATTTTTACTTCTAAACACATTTTAAAAGTGTACAGTCTTTGAAATTCCAAAGCTCCATGAATTAAACTGCATGAAGTGATAAAGCTACTTCATATTGACGTAGCCAAACTGTTTTCCTGAAACTATAGGCACTGTACATATTTGCGGCCAAGGAAGTACTTACTGATTGCAGAGTCATAGGAGGTTGAGTTGTGTTCATCTCGGATAAAAGGAAATGGAGAAAGGTAGGCATGCGTGCAATTCTTAGATGGCAATTGGTTGGCTAGAGAGAAAAAAGTCTAAGCATTAATGTCTAGCATGTATATGATGAGGAGTTGTATTCATGCTAAGTAGAACACTTTTAACATATTCTCTAACATGGCAGGCTGAATTCTATACGTCCAGCCTCCAAATTCTTATTCAGACAAAACCCTGTTAACCTTTAGTGACGACTTTGCCCAAGTAAGGGATTGTCAGCATTGTCGACTCCATACCATCTGTGGATTCCTCTGCCTAGGGAGAATGTCCAGTTAGGGCAGCTGTAAGGGTGATTTGTGCTGCTGGAGCAGTAGAAGCAATCATTTTGGGGACTAGGATTTGATGCAAGTGTTTGTATGTATGTTTGAGAGAGAGGGAAAAAAGCTATAACGAACACAAATCAACCCACAAGGCACAGGTTAAAACAGAAAGGCAAGCAAAGAGAAATTTCTTCAGACACAGGCTGCAGTCTCTAACCAGCATTTATTGTCTACTTGCCTAATTTTTTATTTTGAAAGAGCTGATTTTGAAAATAATTACTCTGTTTAAAACTTTACTTAAATATTCTGGATTAAGTCTTCAAGTGCTTTACTTATTTATTTAGATGTATACACAATATTTAATAGCACCTATCCAATGAAATATGAATAGGACCAGATGACTAAAAATACCTGACAAAAATGTTCAACTTTTGCATCAACATGGTAAAAGTAATGATTATGTAGAAATACAATCTACACTTACTGTACCAAAATTTCCAAATACTGTTTGTGTCTTCTCCTACATCGCCAACAAACCAGCACCTCCAGAAGAAACCTTCATGGTGGAAAGTGACCTGCTCCTCCTGCATAAAAAAATGCAATCTTTGTAGCCTACATTTTTCAAAATCCCATCAAATATAGGTTTTTAGTTGAAAATAATAAGAAAACTCATCATCTCCTGAAGGGACATTATTTAAAGAAAACCTCGTTTGTCAAAAGCTCAGATAGCATCCCATGGGTCTGAGCACAATGGGCCTGATCAAAGCCAAATGAAGTCAGTAAAAAGCCATTAACTGCAGTAGGCTTTGGATCGGATCCATAAACACCAGACTTAGTGTTCATACAGTAAAGTTCTTTCCATATGATGAAGAAATGAGCACATCTGTGAAACTAATTCTGCCTATTATTCTGAAGAAACAATATAAATACTCACCCTAGTATTGTTTGGACCTCCTGAACATCTTTCAACTTCTGTAGCCAGAAGCCAGTAGTCTGTCCCAAAGGCCACCAAAAAAAGCAAAACTCCCAGCGCCCCAAAGAAGCCTCCAAAAAATATCCCCACGCTTAATTTCATCACTGAATTGTTTCCAAGTGAATATGAATATTTTTAAAATTATTAACCTTCAAAATAAAAAATTAGACACGCCGACAATAAATGCTAGTTACAGAATGCAGCCTGTATTTGAAGAATTTTCTCTTTCCTTGCCTTTCTGTATTTCTCCTGTGCTGTGTAGGTTGATTTGTATTCCCTGACTTGTGTTCAGCCCAACAGATGGAAAGGACCTTCTATTTTAGGATATTGATGGAAGAGCTTTACTCTGTTTCTCTATCAAGGCGTGGCCAGCCAAAAATAGCTGACCTTCCCCTAACTATCCAGAGAGTCAGGGAGTGACTTGAAATATTATTGCAGTTGGTGCATCAAAAAAAGTGGAAGGGAGATGAAGTTGCAACACCCTCATCATTCCACATGGGCTGGATTACAGGACATAGTTACAACAAGCACTTCCAATGTGTAAATTTGGCAGTGAACATTTCTCCTGCCATTAGCAGGAAAGAGAACACATGAAAAATCCCAACCTGAATGAAAACTTTTGTGGTAAATTCTGTTTGCTTTCAAAGGGAATACTTTTCACAATTACTAAACTTTAGTTAATTATGTTGAATTGAGTCTTTAAGTGCTTTACTTATTTATGTACATATATGTATATACAATATTTAATAACATCTATCCAAAGGAACTCAGCCCCCTATGCTCATTAAAATTACAATATAAAGAAAGCAGTCTCCAAAACGAGACAGAGAATCAAACCCTTACAACCACAAGTTACAGTCCCTGTTTCATAAAAGTTAGCCCTTCTAAAAATAAGCTTTGCCACATACCCAGAAGGTCAATGGAACATGACAAAGGAATGGATTTATAAGTTCTAGGCTTCTCAGGGTGAGTCTACACTGCACATTTATTTCAGAATAAACTACTCCAGAAGAGATATTCTGAAATAGCTTATTTCGAAATACTGCATCTACACACAAAATACACATCAAAATAGCTATTTGCTATTTCGAAATAGCATGTCCACACTGATTTGACACTGAATCACATTTAAGACCACCCAGAACCAGTTCAGACAGGGTATCAGGTCAGTAGTTACTTTGTGTGGCTGCTACATGAGGCTATCTGAGACATGTACTTAAAGGGACTCCCCTTGATGGCTGTTTCTCAGGTTCTTCTGCTTGCTTGCCTACATGAGGGACAGCAAAACATTTGCACTGTGTGCTTTGGTTGCCCTGCTTCTGGACACCACAGCACACCCTGCTATGGGGCTGGAGCTGCCTTCAGGCAGTCTTCAGTTATTGCAGTTTATGCTTCAAGTCATGCAGCACTTTCTGCAGGCTGCCTCCAAGGCTCTGCAGGACTTGTACATTTCTGCTCTAATAAAAATTAGATTCGGATCCTGAAAATGAACTTGTGTGGCATGAACTGGATGCAGAAACAATCTCTTTTTTTTTTACCAGACTTTTAATGAACTCCAAAGCAATCCAACTGAATCTATTTGTACACTAGAGATGGTTCTGAATATAGAATTTCTTGGGACATCACCTACAGTTAAATTTTCTGGTTTTAATCTCCTAATATGAAATATATCTAGGTAAATTACATTTGAACAATGGTCTGATGGCAAATATTAACTAAAATTAATAAGGAATGTGATTATATTCCTTTATCCCCCTTCTTATTTTTTGTTTGTACACTTCTTTGTAATCATATAATGTAATTGAGGGTTCTTTGTGAATTTATGAATGATTGTTTGGATGCAAACTCCTCCGTGATTTTTAGGAGAGGCAGGTTCTTCCATATATCATTAGAAAGACAAATTTATCTAAGGGTGCGTTTACACTGCATTGTAGGTCAAAATAAGATATTCAATTTGAGCTATGCAAATTGTGTATAGATAGCACCAAATTTCAAAATAACTCACTATTCCAAAACATCCCTTACTTCTTATATTTCAAAATAACAGGCTTTCTATGAAGATGCAGAATAGCTATTTCGGGATACTTCGTTATCCCGGAATAGTGTTACAGTGTAGATGTAGTCTAAGTGTGCTGATGGATTTGACCTATGACCTTAACTGGCCAGGTTCAAACTCCTCTTGGACTACTAGTTAATATTCTTAAAATGTTAACAGAATTGTTGACAGTACAAGTGATTTCTTTGTGGAAGCAGTATACACAACAAGAATCAAATCCGGAAATCAATAAGAGGAATAGTGCAGGTCCTAGGATAGAGAGGCGTCATGTCTCTCTGTTCATTTTGAGACTGAAAGACATCCTGCCATATATTATTTGAAAAATAATTTCCCCTAGATTTCTATAAAAATCTTTGATTTCACCTTTGGCATCGATGTCAGAAGATTGTCTGAATTTGTTTTAAATGGCTCTTCTACGAACTCAGCTTTCCAATTACTGTGCAGGAAATAATATCCTTATTACAAAATGCTAGCATCACTCTAGTAGAATATTCTGGTGGCATTATTTAATATATCAGACTTTAGAAGAGTATATGTTTTGAAATCTTACACTATATACATGGCTAACATCAGGGTGTGTCTAGACTATAGGGTTTTGTCGACAAAAGTAGACTTTTGTCAACAAAACTATACCCGCCTTTACACTACCACCAAGCTCTATCGACATAATGTCGACAGAACTTGGCAGTTTTGTTGATGGCAGTAAGCCTCATTCTACGAGGAATAACGCCTTTTGTTGACAGAGTTCTGTCGACAGAAGGTGTTATTGCATCTACACTGTTCTTTGCATCTACACTCTCATGTTGACAAAGCAGCTTGCTTTGTCGACAGAACTGGATGTAGTCTAGACGCTCTTTGTTGACAGAAGCTTTGTCGACAGTATCTGTCGACAAAGCCTCTGTGAATAAAAGCCTGTAGTCTAGACATACCTTCAGTGAGAATGTAATGGTGTCCTTACACAAGGCCTGAGCAGGTTAAAAAGGTTCAATTAATCTCGTAGGCCGCATCTAGAGGAAAGCCAAAGACTGATAAAAAAAATCCCCTTTTTTTTCAAGTGTCCACCACAGATCAGACATTAAATATGGCCAACTGATCTTATGGCTGCACCTAGGGAAGAACCAGGGATATAGTCTAAATTGAAGATGAACCTAACTGGACCGGAGCAGTCTGGACTCATATAAAAAGTCAGGAAGTTGACAGCAGGAGGGAGAGATAGGGAGAAGCTCTGCAATAACTCCAGAGAGGGAAAGGGAATTGGTGAGAAAAGAGGAGGAGTTCTATGGGAGGATAAGCCCTGAACTATAGAGTGGCAAAAAGCCGAGAAAGGTGGGCTAGCCACTGCAAATAGAAGAACCTCATATTGACTTCTATGGGGCTATTCACATAGTTAACATAAAGCATGTTCTTAAATCCTTGTGAACAGTAGCCTAAATATCATGGTTTGCAGAAATGAGCAGTACAGTCTTGGTGAAATGAAATAATAGATTTTTTTTACTTACATTTTTACTTCTAAACACATTTTAAAAGTGTACAGTCTTTGAAATTCCAAAGCTCCATGAATTAAACTGCATGAAGTGATAAAGCTACTTCATATTGACGTAGCCAAACTGTTTTCCTGAAACTATAGGCACTGTACATATTTGCGGCCAAGGAAGTACTTACTGATTGCAGAGTCATAGGAGGTTGAGTTGTGTTCATCTCGGATAAAAGGAAATGGAGAAAGGTAGGCATGCGTGCAATTCTTAGATGGCAATTGGTTGGCTAGAGAGAAAAAAGTCTAAGCATTAATGTCTAGCATGTATATGATGAGGAGTTGTATTCATGCTAAGTAGAACACTTTTAACATATTCTCTAACATGGCAGGCTGAATTCTATACGTCCAGCCTCCAAATTCTTATTCAGACAAAACCCTGTTAACCTTTAGTGACGACTTTGCCCAAGTAAGGGATTGTCAGCATTGTCGACTCCATACCATCTGTGGATTCCTCTGCCTAGGGAGAATGTCCAGTTAGGGCAGCTGTAAGGGTGATTTGTGCTGCTGGAGCAGTAGAAGCAATCATTTTGGGGACTAGGATTTGATGCAAGTGTTTGTATGTATGTTTGAGAGAGAGGGAAAAAAGCTATAACGAACACAAATCAACCCACAAGGCACAGGTTAAAACAGAAAGGCAAGCAAAGAGAAATTTCTTCAGACACAGGCTGCAGTCTCTAACCAGCATTTATTGTCTACTTGCCTAATTTTTTATTTTGAAAGAGCTGATTTTGAAAATAATTACTCTGTTTAAAACTTTACTTAAATATTCTGGATTAAGTCTTCAAGTGCTTTACTTATTTATTTAGATGTATACACAATATTTAATAGCACCTATCCAATGAAATATGAATAGGACCAGATGACTAAAAATACCTGACAAAAATGTTCAACTTTTGCATCAACATGGTAAAAGTAATGATTATGTAGAAATACAATCTACACTTACTGTACCAAAATTTCCAAATACTGTTTGTGTCTTCTCCTACATCGCCAACAAACCAGCACCTCCAGAAGAAACCTTCATGGTGGAAAGTGACCTGCTCCTCCTGCATAAAAAAATGCAATCTTTGTAGCCTACATTTTTCAAAATCCCATCAAATATAGGTTTTTAGTTGAAAATAATAAGAAAACTCATCATCTCCTGAAGGGACATTATTTAAAGAAAACCTCGTTTGTCAAAAGCTCAGATAGCATCCCATGGGTCTGAGCACAATGGGCCTGATCAAAGCCAAATGAAGTCAGTAAAAAGCCATTAACTGCAGTAGGCTTTGGATCGGATCCATAAACACCAGACTTAGTGTTCATACAGTAAAGTTCTTTCCATATGATGAAGAAATGAGCACATCTGTGAAACTAATTCTGCCTATTATTCTGAAGAAACAATATAAATACTCACCCTAGTATTGTTTGGACCTCCTGAACATCTTTCAACTTCTGTAGCCAGAAGCCAGTAGTCTGTCCCAAAGGCCACCAAAAAAAGCAAAACTCCCAGCGCCCCAAAGAAGCCTCCAAAAAATATCCCCACGCTTAATTTCATCACTGAATTGTTTCCAAGTGAATATGAATATTTTTAAAATTATTAACCTTCAAAATAAAAAATTAGACACGCCGACAATAAATGCTAGTTACAGAATGCAGCCTGTATTTGAAGAATTTTCTCTTTCCTTGCCTTTCTGTATTTCTCCTGTGCTGTGTAGGTTGATTTGTATTCCCTGACTTGTGTTCAGCCCAACAGATGGAAAGGACCTTCTATTTTAGGATATTGATGGAAGAGCTTTACTCTGTTTCTCTATCAAGGCGTGGCCAGCCAAAAATAGCTGACCTTCCCCTAACTATCCAGAGAGTCAGGGAGTGACTTGAAATATTATTGCAGTTGGTGCATCAAAAAAAGTGGAAGGGAGATGAAGTTGCAACACCCTCATCATTCCACATGGGCTGGATTACAGGACATAGTTACAACAAGCACTTCCAATGTGTAAATTTGGCAGTGAACATTTCTCCTGCCATTAGCAGGAAAGAGAACACATGAAAAATCCCAACCTGAATGAAAACTTTTGTGGTAAATTCTGTTTGCTTTCAAAGGGAATACTTTTCACAATTACTAAACTTTAGTTAATTATGTTGAATTGAGTCTTTAAGTGCTTTACTTATTTATGTACATATATGTATATACAATATTTAATAACATCTATCCAAAGGAACTCAGCCCCCTATGCTCATTAAAATTACAATATAAAGAAAGCAGTCTCCAAAACGAGACAGAGAATCAAACCCTTACAACCACAAGTTACAGTCCCTGTTTCATAAAAGTTAGCCCTTCTAAAAATAAGCTTTGCCACATACCCAGAAGGTCAATGGAACATGACAAAGGAATGGATTTATAAGTTCTAGGCTTCTCAGGGTGAGTCTACACTGCACATTTATTTCAGAATAAACTACTCCAGAAGAGATATTCTGAAATAGCTTATTTCGAAATACTGCATCTACACACAAAATACACATCAAAATAGCTATTTGCTATTTCGAAATAGCATGTCCACACTGATTTGACACTGAATCACATTTAAGACCACCCAGAACCAGTTCAGACAGGGTATCAGGTCAGTAGTTACTTTGTGTGGCTGCTACATGAGGCTATCTGAGACATGTACTTAAAGGGACTCCCCTTGATGGCTGTTTCTCAGGTTCTTCTGCTTGCTTGCCTACATGAGGGACAGCAAAACATTTGCACTGTGTGCTTTGGTTGCCCTGCTTCTGGACACCACAGCACACCCTGCTATGGGGCTGGAGCTGCCTTCAGGCAGTCTTCAGTTATTGCAGTTTATGCTTCAAGTCATGCAGCACTTTCTGCAGGCTGCCTCCAAGGCTCTGCAGGACTCCAACCCCCAGCTCTTCTGGGAGACCCTCCTCAGATCTCTGTGGCTATGTCTACACTGCAGAGCTTTTCTGGGATACCTTTCCAGTATCCCAGAAAAGCTCTGCCGCATTCAAGGAACACGTCCACTTTCAAAAAAAAAAGTTGGAAAAGTGGACACCTTTTTCAGCATCCCTGTCAATCTTGTTTTACAAGGAAAAATGGATGTTCCAAAAGAGGGTTTTCTCTGAAATTTGGCCCCGTGTAGATGAGTCACATTTATACCATCAAACGCATCACTTGGACAACATTGGTGCCTGTATTAAGAAGGTGAGCAAGCCAGAATCTGGTCTTCATGATACTACCCTAAGTGAAAATAATAATATTAATATTTATATAATTGCTTTCTTCCATAGATCTCAAAGCACTTTACAAAGATGTATAAGCATAATTATTCTATTTACAACTGAACGAAGTGCAATCACTTATCCAATTTACAGAGTTAATGCCAGAGCCAGGAATAGAACTCAGGTATCCTGACCCAAAGTTATTTACCATGACCATTGGACTGCAAATTGTTAAAATACAGGTTAGGCCTCCCTCATCCGGCACCCTCAGGACATGACTGATCACAAAGAAAGGAGTTTGCTGGACCAGGGAAGGTCAGCTCTGTTCCCTCCCTGCCTGGCTTCGCTCCTGGCCTCAGCTGCTGGAATTCCCCACCCCTGCCCTGGCTGCTGGCTCCCAGGACTGGCTCTACTTGCAGCTTCAGATGTGCTGCTGGCCCTGCTGCTGCTTGCCCTGGCTGGGCTCCCTACCACTGGTCAGGCTGCCAGCCCTGCTCAGGCCACTGGCGCTGCCAGTCCCTCTCAAGCTGCCAGTCCAGGCGCCATCCCAACTGCCGCTGGCCATGGCCAGGCTGCTGGCCCCACTATCGCCAGCCCTGGCAGGGTTCCTGGCCACTGTCCCTCCTGCCGTGCATGACTCGCAGCTGCCAGGATTCTCTGGTCCAGCAATATCCATAGTCCTGCCGGAGCACAAATGTTGCCAGACCAGAAAGTCCGTTTTTAGAGGTTCAACCTAAAATAAAATGCTTAATTTCATTCTTGTTATATAAGCCTGTACAAAATAGACTTGTAGCCAGGACCAGCCATGGACCAAATGTCACCTTAGACTAGCAGCAGCTTCAGTGCCTCTCCCACTTCTCTAGTTGTTAAACTTTTGAGTATCCCTTTATTACATTTGTAGCCCGTGTCACAACTCTAATGTACAATTTGCATACATGATTTATCCCTGTCATATAAGACAATAAATGTGCACACAAGTATCTGAAAATCTGTATTTATTCATGCCATATACAGGTTGTACCTCTTTCATCCAGTACTCTCAAGACCTGACTTGTGCTGAATCAGAGAATTTGCTGAGGTCAATATTATTTAGTAGCATTACCAATACCTCCACAGCTTACTGGGCTCTAAGAAGACACTGAGGGGTAAATTAGAGCTAAATCACAGCACAGAACACTGAGAGCTAGGACTGGTGGCAATAAACAAACTTTATGGGACCATGGAAAACTTGGCTACACCCATAATAAGGGGACATCAGGCTAACTAAAATCATGCCAGACCACAGATGTTGCCGGACCAGAGAGTGCTGAACTAAGAGAGGTTCAACCTGTATAAGCGAATAAAAAAATAATTTCCCTTAAACGTACAGTAACTTTTTTAAATTTAAAGAATAACTAAAATGAACGAATATCAAGAAATTGAACTCTGCACCAACACTAGGTGGACAATTATTAAATGATGTTACAGTAGGTGACAGTCTTAGAATGTTAACTTGAATCCTTTCATTCAAAACATCACTTCTCTCACTTTTGACCTCACGAATTGAAGCACAGCATCAGAGAAATCCCAGAGCAAGCGATATAAGTCTCTTGTCAGTCATGTCAATGGAAGATATATTTTGATGCGCATGAGCTTTGAAAAGCTGCGTTCACCACTCGCAAATGTGGTTGGCAGTCTGCATCCCTTGAGCTCCACATTGCAACTAACTGCTGCACTGCTTTGTAGCTTCTTTTATAGGGCCTTCCTGGTCTCTGATTGGCTGCTTCCTCTGCTGTCACTCTTGCCTGGCGGAGGACTTCTTTATAGTCTCTCTTGGATGGTGTGTCAGGACCACAAAGCCTCCAGCAGGGGGACCTCAGAACCTGGTCCATCCCATCACAGGCATCTCATTAAGTATGTCCTTTATTAGTCACTACTTACACTCTTCAATCTTCAAACCAAGTACATTTTCACAAATATACAATAAAACAAGATTCACAATATTGCAACTAGACTATCACTTCACTTGAGTTCATCCTTATATCTTACTAACTGGCAGGCCAACTCTTCCCCCTTTAATATACCTGCAAGGACATGGATGACAACATTCTAGAAGGTTCCGTGAAAATGTAGTTCTCAAAATACTGGAAAGTTCCCCACAGTTTACAAAGATCCACAATATTCAAGCAGGTTAGTAAAATATTAAACAACACATGGAATTTCTGAAATAGTTTACCTCAAACATTGTTTTCCCTTTTCTTGCTAGCATTAAAAACAACACCCTGAATGTGCCACCCCCTCAAGCATGGCACCCCGGATGGTCATCTGGGTTGCCTACCCCTAAATCTAGCCATGATTGTAGCAAAAAAGAGGAGAAATACCTATGGCTCTGACCCTGTAAGTACTTCCACATGAGTAACTTCACTCATATGTGTAGTTCTGTTGAACTCACTTGATAGCTACATCATTTGCTATGTAGTTCAAGTGTTTATTTTTACAATAGTGTACATGTCATGTTTTGGTTCTTAATTTAGAATGTTTATTCTGAGAGGGTCTAATTTAATTATTTGTTTTATTTATGGCATGTTCTCTAGCAATTATATCTTCCAAATACTCTAATATATCCAGCTTTATGCCTTTCTAAATTGGGAAAGACCCAGAAGCCATATTAAGACTTGTTATGTCCTAAGGAAAATTCACAATGTCCACAACTTGAATATTCATGAAAAATTTTCTCGTTGCAATATTAATTGCTTTAAACCCTGAAGGTTCATCATCTACTATATAGTTGAGAGAGTTTGTTTGTCTGTCTGTCCATCCACCTATCCATTTGTCAATCTCTTCTAAATGGTAAGAGCTAGGACCACCAAATTCAGTACACAGCTTCCTCTTATGATAACTTAAAGTGAGGGTGTGCAATCTAAGGCCCAGTGGCCAGATGTGGCCCCCGGCTTTCCTGGATCTAGCCCCCAATACTTCGGGCTTTGCCCCAGCATTGGGGAGCCCACACTGGCACTCCAGCCCATCCACCATCCCCCCATGGGGCTGGAGCAGACTAAATCTACTAGCCTGGGACCCACTAGGTTCTGATGTAAGAGAGGTATGTGGGGAGTGTCTTTCTCCTTCTCAGTTGAGGGCCATGTCAGTGAGGGTTTAGGTTTGGGGGCTTTTTGTTCTTGTTGTTTTGTTCTCACTTGAGTGCAGGCCCTGACTGAATTTTCTGTGAGACAGCGGCCTCCAACCCCAAAAAGTTTCTCCACCCCTAACTTAAAGCAAGGTAAGACTTTGGTTGTCCCAAGAAAATAGGATGTGCCTGGAATGGGATTGAAACTCATACAGAAGAGAGAGGCATGCTGCCCCACCATCCAGGACTGTCCCAGCCCTGAGCCTCCCACCCTCTAGGTGCCCTTTAGGGAGGGTGGAGTGGCTGACACTCTCCTCCTATTCATATGGGAACATTGTTGGCTATTTCCATTCATCAGGGAGCGAGGGAGTAGAAAGTGTACAGTTTTCTGTATTCCTCACTCTGGTGAAGGAACACAGGGGGCAGACTAATCTGG